CGTTTTATCCAGACTGTACAAACATGAACATTTATGATTGGTTAAAACTTGTGTTATCATATGCAATAAGAACATACTGATATGATTAAGAATACATGATAATTCATTAGGAACACCAATTAATCAAATAGTTTGTTTAATTTGACACTAAAAAACAAGGAAACCCATCTTTAAAAATATCAAGGAAAATTTGGATTACAAAAATTGAATCACATGAATTTTCGTATCATAAGTGGGAGCCGCGGTGGCTCAGTGAGTTCGACGCTTGCTCACTAACGTCAAGGTCCAGGGTTCAATCCCGGCATAGGTCGAGATAATACCTTCGGATTTTTCAACCCGGTTTCCTGTCAGTGATAGGTAAGAAGGGCTGACAAGGAAAAGCGTCTAGTCGTTCGGATGGGACAACAAACCGAGGCCCCGTGTGCTACAGGCTCTGCACGTGTAAAAGATCCCTCGACTGTTTGAATTCGAAAAAGAGCAGGCTAATGTAGCTGTCTAGGCAAAATTTCCCTCTTTGCACTCTGCATGGCGTTGTAGTGCAGGCTATTTTTGAGTAATTTTTGGTCTAGATTTGGAATTTGATGTCTAAATTGCATTATCTTTAAGATTTGATGAGATAATGAGAGACTTAAAGGCCGAAGGATAATTCTAAAGATACTCGTTTTGTGAACTGCCAAACTCATCATATATTGAATTTTTTTTTAGGAGACATTAAGGATTGGTCAGTTTTTTGACTAATGAATCAACTGTAATCTGATTCCAATCTATTGATGCGACTGTGTTTAAATTCCGAACTATTCATGCAACTGTGTTAGATTCCGAACTATTGATGCAACTGTGTTTAAATTCCGAACTATTGATGCAACTGTGTTAGATTCTGAACTATTGATGCAACTGTGTTTAGATTCCGAACTATTGATGCAACTGTGTTTAGATTCCGAATTATTTTTTTTATTTTTTTTATTCAATAATAAAGAGGCCACAGGCCCATTATACAAATCATAAACATTTAAATAATATAGTAACTGGACTAATTTAGCCTTTGTTAGTAAAAAATAACTTTCTCTTTTTGTTATTTAGGATGGCAGTATTTTGGGAGGACATAAGCATGGATAGTTTTTGATGGGATGGGTATTCATAATAATATTTAGGAATTAGTTTTTCCCTTAGATCATGGTAAAATGCGCAAATTAAAACAAAATGGTACTCCGTTTCAATATGTGGTCTGATGCACAAAGGGCATAGTCTTTCACCTCTAGTTAGTCCGAGTTTTCGTCCCTCTTCTATCAGTAAGTTGTGGTTTGAACACCTCAATTTGCATAATGCAGTGCGAAATTGATTAATACTAATACTAAGATACATCTCGTTATTTGGATATAGTTTAAAACTGTGATAAAAATCATATTCATGCAAATATGTTAGATTTCAATCTATTGATGCAACTGTGTTTAGATTCCGAACTATTGATGCAAATGTGTTAGATTCCAAACTATTCATGCAACTGTGTTAACATTCCGAACTCTTGATGCACCTGTGTTGAATTCCGAACTATTGATGCACCTGTGTTAGATTCCGAACTATTGATGCAACTGTGTTAACATTCCGAACTATTGATGCGACTGTGTTTAGATTCCGAGCTATTGGTGCACTGTGTTTAGATTCCGAACTATTGAGGAACTGTGTTTTGATCCGAAACTATTGATGCAACTGTATTTAGATTCCGAACTATTGATGCAATTGTGGTTAGATTCCGAACTATTGATGCAATTGTATCCAGATTCCGAACTATTGATGCAACTGTATCCAGATCCCGAACTATTGATGCAACTGTGTTTAGATTTGGAACTATTGATGCAACTGTGTTAGATTCAGAACTATTGATGCAACTGTGTTTAGATTCCGAACTATTCAAGCAACTGTGTTAGATTCCTAACTATTGATGCAACTATGATAGATTCCGAACTATTGATGCAATTGTGTTTAGATTCCGAACTATTCATGCAACTGTGTTAGATTCCGAACTAGTGATGCAGCTGTGTTTAGATTCCGAACTATTCATGCAACTGTGTTAGATTCCGAAATATTGATGCAACTATGTTAGATTCCGAACTATTGATGCAACTGTGGTTAGATTCCGAACTATTGATACAACTGTATTCAGATCCCGAACTATTGATGCAACTGTGTTTAGATTTGGAACTATTGATGCAACTGTGTTAGATTCCGAACTATTGATGCAACTGTGTTTAGATTCCGAACTATTCAAGCAACTGTGTTAGATTCCTAACTATTGATGCAACTATGATAGATTCCGAACTATAGATGCAATTGTGTTTAGATTCCGAACTATTCATGCAACTGTGTTAGATTCCGAACTAGTGATGCAACTGTGTTTAAATTCCGAACTATTGATGCAACTGTGTTTAAATTCCGAACTATTGATGCAACTGTGTTAGATTCCGAAATATTGATGCAACTATTTTAGATTCCGAACTATTGATGCAACTGTGTTTAGATTCCTAACTATTGCTGCAACTGTGTTTAAATTCCGAACTATTGATGTAGATTCTGGATTATTCATGCAACTGTGTTAGATTCCGAACTATTGCTGCAACTGTGTTTAAATTCCGAACTATGCATGCATTTATGTTTAAATTCCGAACTATTGATGCAACTATGTTTAGATCTCGAACTATTGATGTAACTGTGTTTAGATTCCGAACTATTGATGCAACTGTGAACTTTGATTCGAAATTATTATTTGTTTATTCTAACCTGTTGATTACTTTTAATACAGATGTATTTTGAACCTCAACAATCGATACAAATGTTTGTAACATCTAACTTTTTTTAGAGTTCTATTTTGATTCAGATTTATTGGTGCAACTGGCTTTTATTACAAACTACAAACTACTGTTTCAATACGAGATTACTTTTAGAAAGTTCACTTTGACTTCGAACATTTAATAACAATTTTTTTTGCTTTGGTAATATTGTTATTAATACTGTTTAGCTATTGAGTTATGATACAATTCATTTAATAAAGTTTATATAGCGCTTATATTTAAGTAGACCTGCAAACATATATTGGTTATCTGGTAACCAAAATCTTGTTTTTATCTATTGATCTATTTGATCTATTTACCTATTTCATGGTAATGAAACAATCAGCTTCTAAGAAGTCATCGATTTACATTAAGACCAGTCAATGGACATTATTACCTTGACCTTAGTCCAAGATTAAGATGATGCCTTGTATATACATGTATATATTATATGCAAAGTATGTATTCAGGTAAATTGTCACTTTTCTTTGATATATTGGAAACTTTTTCATGATAGAGAGCGCTCATGAAGAGGTACAGGTGGTGTAACTGAAATAATTGGAATATATAAGGTCATATGGTATAACTTTTGGATACCTTCTTTAATCCTCTCTGGCAATACATAATTATCTCGCGAGCAGATAAACTTGCTTTGCTAACTTGATAGATATGTCCCAGCCAAATCGAAGGGGTACTTGCCTGTATTATGAGATGATACTTTGGAGGGGTTGTCAAAAATATCCGTTTTTCCCGTACTTTTCTTTTTAATGACCCCTTAAATTCGAGAGTTAAGGATGTTTAACTAACATTCCCTTCTCTTTTGCATCCTTATTGTTTGGTCTAGATTTAGATTTTGATGTCCACAATTGTTTTTGTAATATGAAAAGATTTATATGCGACAGAATAAGTGTGAAATACTGGTTTCCTGTACAAGTCGATGATTAACTGAAATATAGCCAGAATCTTCGAATAAAAATCCGCACAAGCAAGACAAATCCGCTAATCAAAATCTCGTCCAAAGTTTGGCAAAATCGAGAGAATAAGTTGGAGTGGACTCCTCCAAAGAGAAGCAACATCAGGTGTTTCGAAAATAGTATCCCATGGTCGGCCATGCCGCAACACCAACCACTACTATATAGGTTAAGATTATATTCAATGAAGCAAATGGCAGACTTTCATACGACATATTGGAAAGTTTTCAAGGTTTACTTTTTCAAAAGTACACCATGAGCAACTAACGACAATTGGCGACAACTGCAATTTTTCAGGTGGACTAAGTTAAGCGAATGATCCTATTCTCGGAGATGCCATCATTTGCTTTCAGATTTCGCCCGTCGTAAGATTGACCAGAAAACTCCTAGTTCAGAGGAATATTGAAAAAGCTTGCTTGAAAGTTTCTTGGTTGATTCATCATCTCAGGGCTATACAGGAATCAGATTGAGGAAATATTCTAATACTATGTTTTTATGGTCAATTGTGATGAAATTAAGAGTCTGCAGGTTCACGCGGAGGATCTCCGGTTCAATTCGTGCTCTGTTCAGAAACAGTCCANCCATTTCCTTTGGACAATGTATGTGATGACACTTATTTGTAGAAACTCTGTGGTTAACCCCGAGCAATTCATGTTCCCTCTACCTGTCAACATGACAGCAACAATCAGTGACAGCGCCAGTCTGGATACAGGGGCATTTGCCTACAATATTGGTGTGTGTTTGGCGTATTGGTTTTCAACCCCCACTTAATATTAAACAGATTAAAAATATGTTTTTATAGTTTTTGCACTAAATTGTGTGTCAGAATGCACTAAATCAATTCAATTTCTCGAGAGAACCCCTCTAAGAGGATTTGTGACTCCACAGTGTTGCCTCATTGTGAATTAAGTCTCGACAGCCCCAACTGTTCACATTTGAACGGTGGCAATTTTGGAAAATGGCACAAGTTCAATGAACAGGCGTTTAATTCTATCATAATTTGATTCCCTGACCAAGAAAACAAATTTTCATTAGAATTTTGCATAAGAAGTGAAGATATTGCCTACAACAGAATTCGGTAGCGGCCAATTTATTTTTTCCCTCTAAAAATTCCTCAATGGTGCACATCTAGTACCCAGCTGATTCAGGTTCAGGATAGCCCAGAGATGATGAATCAACCAAAAACTCCATAATTACGAAGTTTGCTTCGCCAAATAAAGGCTATTCGGCATCCGGACTATCCGTATTGAAATTATATAACATTCCATTACATACAAATATAAGTTTATCTAGATTTCAAAGGACTTAATGATTCATCGATTATGACGATATTTTTTATACTAGAAGCATTGTTGAAAGTATTCTTATCAAAGTACTCGAAAGTAACTCTTTTGCCAATTATTGGATAATTGCTTGATTTCCTGATTGAATAAATGTGAATAGAGAAAATATTTTACAAAAACACAGAAATAAACGACACAGAACGCACTTTTAATGATGGTTTGATGATGCTCGGTCACAGCTGAATGCGCTAGCTAATAACAAATTGTACGTTATTTTTGTTCTTTTGTAAATAACA